GGAAACTACGCTGCTTTCATATATATGGCAACGTACTAGCACCAAGTCGGTTTTCCTATGCAAACCGCTTTCACTTGAAAACGGCTTTGTGAAACATTCTGAGAAATCAGAGCAAATGTTTCTGTATGTCACTTAACCTTCAATGCTGGATGAAAGAACGCATCTCCACATGCTCACATCTGACAGCTGAATGTGTGTTGGAACTGTCCCTTAACTAACTTGCAGTAAACCCAGTGTTTCTGGTCTAGGGGAACTATGCTACTAACATGTCTAAGGGGAGGCACTCGCTTCAACGTGGTTTTCCACAGATAACTACTTTCACTTTGAAACCGGCGTTAGTAAACATGCTGAGAAATCAGAGAATGTGTTTCTACATGTCACTCTGCCTTTTATGCTGAGTGAAATAAGGCCTCTCCACATGCTCTATTTTCAAATCTTTCTATGTATGGAAGCCATCCTTCACCTAGCTTGTTGGGAACCAACAGTTTTTGGACTAGGGAAACAACGCTGCTTTCATATATATATGAACGAACTAGCACCAGCTCCCATTTCCACTGCAAAACGTTTTTACTTGAAACGGATTTTAGAAACATGCTAAGAAATCAGAGTAAGTGTTTCAGTATGTATCTTAACCTTCAATGGTGGAAGAAGGAACGCCTCCCAACATGCTCACTTCTGACATCTAAACGTGAGTTGGAGCCATTCTTCACATAACTTCTTCGAAAACAAGGGTTCTAGTCTAGGGGGACTACGCTGCTTATATATGTAAGCAGAGGCTCTCACTCCACAGCAAACTGCTCTTCCTTAGAAACTGGCATTAGGAAACCTGCTGAGAATTCAGAATGACTTTCTGTATGTCACTTAACCTTCAATGCTGGATGAAAGAACGCCTCTCCAAAAGATCACTTCTGACATTTGAATTTGTGTTGGAGACGTCCTTCTCCTAACATGTTGGAAAACCAGAGTTTCTGGAATAAGGGAACTACCCACTTTACATATCAAAGAGGAGGAACACGATTCAAAGCAGTTTACCAAAGCAAAGTGATTTTTCTTTGAAACCAGCATTTCACAGTAAACATAAAAGGCAGAGTGAGATGTACAAACATGTTCTCTGATTTCTCAGTATGTTTCTTAAACCCGGTTTCAAGTAAAAGCGGTTTGCAGTGAAAAACTGAGTTTGTTCTAATATGTCCCCATATATATGAAAGCAACGAAGTTTACCTTTGACTGAAAATCTGGGTTTCCAACAAGCTAGGTGAAAGGCGGCTTCCACACTCCTACATTTCTGAAAATTGAGCATGTGGAGGGGCATTCCTTCATCCAGCATAAAAGGCAGAGGGACTTCTAAACACACATTCTCTGATTTCTGAGCATGTTTCTTATGCCGGTTTCAATGTAAAACCGGTTTGATCTGGAAAATGAAGTTGGAGCCAGTGCCCCCCCTTCATATGTAAGTAGCGTAGTTCCCCTATACAAGAAACTCTGGGGTTCCAACAAGTTAGGTGAATGACGTCTCCAAAACAAATTCAGATGTCAGAAGTAAGCCTGTGGAGAGGTGTTTTTTTATCCAGCATTGAAGGTTAAGTGATATACAGAAACACATTCTCTGAGTTGTCACCATGTTTCTCAAAGCCGATTTCAAATAAAAGTGGTTTGCAGTTTAAAACCAAGTACGTGCTAGTAAGTCCCTATATATATGAAAGGACCGTAGTTTCCATTGGACTGAAACTCTGGGTTTCCAACAAGGTAGGTGAAGGATGGCTTCAACACTCATTAAGTTCTGAATATTGAGAATGTGGAGAGACATTGCTTGTCAAACATAAAGGGAATGGTTTGCAGTAGAAACACTTACACTGGATTCTCAGTATGCTTCCTAGTGCTGGTTTGAAGTTCATGCTGTTTTCATTGTAAATCAGAGTTGGATCCAGTACCTCCACATTTACACAAATGTAGTGAATTTACCCACACATAAGAAACTGTGCATTCCCATCAAGCTAGCTGATTGAAGACTTTCACACACACTTAACTCTCAGAATTGTGCAAATGGAGAGACGTTCCTTCATCTAGCATGAAGGGAATGGGTTGAAGTAGAAACGCATGCTCTGGTTTCTCAGTATGCTTTCCTAGGGCTGGTTGGAGGTTCATGCAGTTCTCACTGAAAAACCGAGTTGGAGCTTGTACTTCCAAAAATATATTTATTTAGCGTAGTTTCCCACACAAAAGAAACTGTGTGTTCCCAACAAGCTACGTGATTGACGGCTTTCATACTCATTTAAATGTCAGAATTGGGAAAGTGAAGAGACGTTCGATCATCTAGCGAAAAGTGAATGGCATTCTAGAAACACGTACTCGGGTTTCTCAGTAAGTTTTCTACTGCCGGTTTGAAGTTCATGCAGTTTTCACTCAAAAACCGAGTTTGAGCTAGCACATCCACATATATATGTAAGTAGTGTAGTCCCCACGTAAAAGAAACTGTGTGTTCCCAACAAGCTAGAAGACTGATGGCTTCACAAACAATTAAATCTCATAAATGAGCATGGGGAGAGACTTTCGTTCATCTAGCATAAGTGGAATGGTTTCTACTAGAAAGACTTCTACTGGATTTTCAGTATGTTTTCCTCGTGCCAGATTGAAGTTCATGAAGTGTTCAATGTAACACCGAATTGGAGCTAGTACGTCCCATTATATATGTAAGAAGTGAATTTCCTGACTCTAAAGAAACAGTGTGATCACAACAAATTAGGTGATTGAAAGTTTATCACACACTTAACTCTCAGAATAGAGCAAGTGGAGAGACATTCGCTCATCTACAAAAAGGAAAAGGGTTGAAATAGAAACACTTACCCAGGACTCAAAGAATGTTTCCAAGTGCCGCTTTGAAATTCATGCATTTTCCACCGCAAAACCAAGTTGGAGATAATACTTCCCATTACAAATGAATGTAGTGAATTTACCCACAGAAAACAAAAGTGTTTCCAACAAGTTAGGTAGCTGAAGGCTGGCAAAAACATTTATATTTCAGAATAGAGCATGTGGTGGGATGTTAGTTCATCTAGCATAAATGGAATGGATTGAAGTAGAAAAAAATATTCTGGTTCCTCAGCATATATTCCTAGTGCCGGTTAGAAGGACAGGAAGTTTTCTCTGTTAAGGCGAGTTGGAGCTTGGAAGTCCCATATATATGTACCTAGTATAGATGCCTACTGAAAAGAAAATGTGTTCCCAAAAAGCTAGGTGAAGTAAGGCTTTCACACACAATTAAGTCTGAGAACTGAACATGTGGAGAGACGCTCGTTCATCTAGCACAAATGGAACGGTTTGCAGGAGAAACACTTGCTCTGCATTCTCAGTCTGTTCATTGGTGACGGTTTTATAATTCCTTCAATTTTCACTGTAAATACGTGTTGAAGCTTATATCACCCAATTATATGTATGTAGTGGAGTTTACAACTGAAAAGAAACATTGTGTTGCCACAAGTTAGGTGAAGGACGGCTTATACACACAATTACCTCTGAGAACTGAGAATGTGGAGAGACGTTCGTTCACCTACCACAAAGGGAACGGGTTGCAGGAGAAACACTCTGCTTTCTCGGTCTGTTTCCTAGTGCCAGGTTGAAGATCCTGCAGTTTGCACAGTCAAACCGAGTTGGAGCTTGTACATTCCCATATATATGTAATTAGTGGAGATTCCAAATGAAAAGAAGTTTGTGTTGCCAACATTCTAGGTGAAGAAAGGCTTTCGCACACATTAACCTCTCAGAAGTGAGCATGTGTAGAGACGTTCTTTCATCTAGCACAAATGGAACGGGTTGCAGGAGAAACACTCACTCTGGTTTCTCAGGCAGATTCCTAGTGCCGGTTTGAAGTTCCTGCACTTTTCACTGTAAAACCGTGTTGGAGCTTGTACCTCCCAATATATATGTATGTAGTGGAGTTTGCAACTTAAAAGAAACTTTGTGGTCCCAATAAGCTAGTTGAAGGATGGATTTCACACACAATTTTCTCTCAGAACTGAGCCTGTGGAGAGACGTTCGTTTATCTAGCACAAAGGGAACGGGTTGCAGGAGAAACATTTACTCTGGTTTCTCAGTCTGTTCCCTAGTGCTGGTTTGAAGTTCTTGCATTTTTCACTGTAAAACCGAGTTGGAACTTGTACCTCCCCATATATATATGTAGTGGAGTTTGCAAGTGAAAAAACTTTGTGTTACCAACAAGCTACATGACGTACGGCTTTCACAAACAGATATCGCTCAGAACTGAGCAGCTGGGGAGACGTTCGTTCATCTAGCACAGAGGGATAGGGTAACAGGACAATCACTTACTCTGGTTTCTCAGTCTGTTTCCTAGTGCCGGTTTGAAGTTCCTGCAGTTTTCACAGTAAAACCGAGTTGGAGCTTGTACCTCCCAGTATATATGTATGTAGTGGAGTTTCCAAATGAGAAGAAATTTTGTGTTCCCAACAAGCTAGGTGAAGTACGGCTTTCACACACAATTATCTCTTAGAATGAAGAATGTGGAGAGACGTTCGTTAATCTAGGGCAAAGGGAAAGGTTTGCAGTTCAAACACATACTTTGGATTCTCAGTCTGTTTCCTACTGCCACTTTGATGTTCCTGCAGTTTTCTCTGTAATACCGAATTGGAGCATGTAACTACTCATATATATGTATGTACCGGGGTTTGCAACTGAAAAGAAACTTTGTGTTCTCAAAAAGCTGGGAGAAGTACCACTTTAACACACAGATATATCTCAGAACTGAGCACGTGCAGAGACGTTCGTTAATCTAGCACAAAGGGATCTGGTTGCAGGAGAAACACTTACTCTGCTTTCTCAGTCTGTTTCCTAGTGCTGATTTAAAGTTCCTGCAGTTTTCTCTTTAAAACCGATTTAGAGCTTATACCTCCCCGTATATATGTATGTAGTGGAGTTTGCAACTGAAAAGAAACATTGTGTTCCCAACAAGCTACGTAAAGGAGAGCTTTCACACACATTTATCTCTCAGAACTCAGCATGTGGAGAGACGTTCATTCATCTAGCAGAATGGGAACGGGTTGCAGGGAAACCCTTACTCTGATTTCTCATTCTTTTCCTAGTGGTGGTTTGAAGTTCCTGCAGTTTTCTCTGTAAAATAGATTTGGAGTTTTTACCTCCCCAAATATATGTATGCAGTGGAGTTCCCAACTTAAAAGAAACTTTGTGCTCCCAAGATGCTAGGAGAAGGACGGCTTTGACCCACAATTATCTCTCACAACTGAGAATGTGGGGAGATGTTCGTTCATCTAGAACAAAAGGAACGGGTTGTAGGATAAACAATTTCTCCGGTTTCTAAGTCTGCTTCCTAGAGCTGGTTTGAAGTTCCTGCAGTTTTCACTGTGAAACCGAGTTGGAGCTAGTATTTCCCTTTAATTATGTATGTAGTGGTGTTTCCAAATGAAAAGAAACTTTCTATTCCCAACAAGTTAGATGTAGGACGGCATTAACACACACTTATCTCTCAGAACGGAGCTTGTGGGGAGAGGTTCGTTCATTTAGCACAAAGGGAAAATGTTGCAGGGGAAACTCTTACTCTGGTTTCGCAATCTGTTTCCTAGTGCCAGTTTGAAGCTCTTTGATTCTTGGGCCCTTGCCCTGGCCCATTTTACAGGACGCATTACTACCCATTATCCTGCTGATAATTTAATTCAATTTGCGGAGTTACATCCATTTCTTTTCCCAAAAAATACTGTTCTCTCCCCTCTATCCTCAGCCACTACGGTATTTACCGATGGATCATCCAATGGTATTGCTGCTTATATTATAAAAGATAAAACTGTATCTTGGCAAACTTCTCAAACTTCTGCCCAAATAGTAGAGTTGTTAACCATTCAAGCTGCTTTAATAGTAGTTCAACATGTGCCCTGTAATCTTTTTTCTGATAGTCAATATATCGTTCGAGCCTTACAAATTTTAGAAACTGTTCCTTTTATTGGCACTGTTAATTCCTATGTTAACCGCTTATTTTTTGACGTACAGCTTATTATTCGCAGTCGTTGTCATCCTTGCTATTTTGGTCATCTCCGGGCACATACTAATTTACCTGGCCCTCTTTCTGAAGGTAATGCTAATGTTGATTGCGCCACTCAGCTTTATCCTGCCCTTGAAGAAGCTAAACAATCTCATGCGCTTCATCATCAAAATAGTTATAGCTTGCGGCTGCAATTTAAAATTCCTCATTAGGCTGCTTGTCAAATTGTAAAAACCTGTCCTACCTGCCCTACGGCATTTTCTGTGCCACATTATGGGGTAAATCCCCGTGGGCTTTTACCCAATCACCTTTGGCAAATGGATGTTACTCATATCAAAGAATTTCGTAACACTCCTTTTGTCCATGTTAGCATTGACACTTGCTCAGGGTTTATTCATGCTACTTTACAAACTGGAGAAGCTAGCAAACATTGTATTAATCATCTTTTAAAGTGTTTTGCTGTCATGGGTAAACCTCGCGTACTTAAAACTGATAATGGTCCCAGCTATACTAGGCGGATGTTTCAACGCTTTTGCCAGACACTTAAAATTGAACATAAAACTGGAATTGCCTATAATCCTCAAGGGCAAGGAATTGTGGAACATTGTCATCAAACTCTTAAACATCAGATTCATTAATTAAAGAAGGGAGAATTATATCCCCTTACTCCACAAAACTATTTTCATCATGCCCTTTTTATCTTAAATTTTTTGACTTATGTCATCAAAGGCAATTCAGCTGCTCAACGTTTTTGGAACCAAAAACCCTCTCACCACCCTTTGGTGAGATGGAAGGATCCACTTACTAATCAGTGGGCTGGCCCCGATCCAGTTTTAATGTGGGGCAGAGGCCATGTTTGTGTTTTTCCACAGGTTGCCAACACGCCGCGCTGGCTCCCGGAAAGGCTGGTATGCCAGGCGGAGGAGAGCGTTGATAAAACACCTTCAACAACTGCAGATCCAAAAGAAAACACCCCTGCCGACGATTCAGCAAACGCAACAACTGATTCAAAAAGCGAATCAGATAGCGAGAACAACTGAATATCCACAAATGTCATTAATGTTTCTGGTCGTTAGTTTGGCATGTACCGTTGCTCTTATGCCTTTTTCCTGGTGCCCAAGCAAATGTATTTTTGTCCTGGGTTCAATCTTATGCTGAATTCCATAATACATCTGATTGTTGGGTTTGCAGTTCTATGCCATTGTCTGTTGGCAGTTTGCCTTGGTGGGTTATGCCTGTTACTAAACATGAATTTCATGCTATATGTGAGTTGCTGTTACAACAGAAGCAAAGGCATTTAAGGTTGCACCTGCAAAATGTGTCTGCACTCGTTTGGTGCTCTATAAAAGTTATGCAGTCTGAATTTTTCTTTGATCTTAATGCTACAGAAGAGGAAGACATAGACATTTATGATAAAGCCCCACAACAGACTAAACAACGAGATGCAGATGTTTCTGGACGTCTTATTGGACAGTATTACCAAATATGGGACGAATATATGTGGATCACCCCAGAGACTGGACAATTGACTAACCCTGCAGATGTTTGCTGGGAACAAAAAGAGCAACCTTGCGGGTATAATGAAAGAAATTTAACAAAGAAAGACTGGAAGTATTTGGGGTATATATCACAGAGACTTTGCAAATGGACAATAGATGTTACATTTATATGCAAAAACCTTTTAAATGGCCTGGATCAGATTGGACAAATCCTGGATATCGATGGGCTGCACCTATTGGGACAAAATGGATATGTGGAACTAATGTATGGCCATGGCTGCCTCTTCGTTGGGTGGGACGATGTACTTTGGGTTTTGTCATAGAACCAGGAAGGATTGTAAAATCAGTACAAGATGTCCCTGCCAATATGCCTAATTTGCACGCTCATTGGAGCAGAGCTGCTTTTAAATGGTATGATTACCTTGCTGCCATATTCATCCCATTTCTAGGAAATGTTGATATTATGACTAAGGTAAATGCATTGATGAACATTACATAAAAAGCATTGGCTGATGCTGTAGAAGAGTTAAATGCAGAACAAAAATTTATGAGAAAAGCAGTTTTAAAAAATAGGATGGCTCTTGATATAATTACTGCAGCACAAGGAGGAATCTGTGCTATTATTAAAGTAGAATGTTGTGTATATGTACCAGATGTATCTGGAAATGTGTCTCAAGCTATGGAAGATATGCAAGAGCAGATAAAAAATATGGATTCCCCTGTGCCATTTGTTTCAGCACAGTGGTTTGATTGGTTTAAAAGTGATTGGTGAAAACATGTTTTAGTGATTGTGATAATTATTTTGATCTTGATTTGTATGGCTCATTGTATACTTTCTTGCCTGTCGGAATTTTTAACGCAGCGCATGCTTGCTTTTAATCACATCCATTTGCGGTCTCAAAATTAGCAGGGTGTACTAGGTTTGAGATGAATTGGCGTTTTTAAAACAATAAAGGGGGAGTTGTGGGGAGCCACTCATGACCTGAGGACGGCCGGCACAAAACAGGATAATAAATCTTGAGTGCTAGCGTCAGGCTTTGAAGTTGATCTATCAAAGAAAATTTCTGTCCCGCCACCCCTTTGAGATGTTTGCGTCAAGGAATCTAAAAAATTAGTGTCTTATGCTAATAAGACACTAATAGCCTTTGAGCAAGGAGATACAATCAGCATACAAGTTACTGATCTAAGCATATGGTGGTTTATGGGAATAATACACAAGTTAATGATTTTACTACACGCTATCAGGTGGTCTTAAGATTAGAAGAAAATGCCTTTGCCTACGTGAAGGAATGCACACTCTAGCTGGTTGAAATTGTATAAATTAACTGCTGAAAATAAACTCGTGGTCCATTCTCGGTCTTGCGTCTTGCAGACTTAGACTGCGACCCTCTCAACCTCAACTTTTAGTGTCGTCTTTCTTTTCTCAGTCCTGCAGCACAGGTTTCTGCACCTGCTCGTTGTCGGCTGGCTCCGACACTGCAGTTTTCACTATAAAATCGAGTTGGGGCTAGTACCTCCTCATAAATACGTATGTTGTGGAGATTCCAACTGTAAAGAAACTTTGTGTTACCAAAATGCAATTTGAAGGAAGGCATTCACACCTAATTATCTCTAAGAACTGAGCATGTGGAGAGACGTTCGTTCATCTAGCACATAGGGAATGGGTTGCAGTGGAAACTCTTACACTGGTTTCTCATTCTGTTTCCTAGTGCCGGTATTATGTTCCTAAAATTTTCACTGTAAAACCGAGTTGGAGCTATTACTTCCCCATATTTATGTGTGTAGTGGAGTTTCCAACTGAAAAGAAACTTTGTGTTCCCAACAAGCTACGTGAAAGATGGCATTAACACACAGTTATCACTCAGAACTTAGCATGATGGGAGACGTTCGTTCAACTAGCACAAAGGAAGCAGTTTGCAGGAGATACCACTGCTCTGGTTTCTCAAACTGTTTCCTAGTGCCTGTTGGCAGCTCCTGCAATTTTCATTGTAAAACCGAATTGGAACTTGTATGTCCTCATATGTATGTACTTAGTGGTGTTTCCAACTGAAAAGGAATTTGTGTTCCAAACAAGCTAGGTGAAAGGCGGCTGTCAAACACACATATCTCTCAGTAGTTAGCATGTGGGGAGAGGTTCGTTCATCTAGAACAAAGGGAACGGCTTGTAGGAGAAACAATTTCTCTGGTTTCTTAGTCTGTTTCCTAGTGCCAGTCTCAAGTTCCTGCAGTTTTCCCTGTGAAACCGAGTTGGAGCTAGTATTTACCCTTATTTATGTATGTAGTGGTGTTTCCAAATGAAAAGAAAATTTGTGTTCCCAATAAGCTAGGTTTAGGACGGCATTAACACACACTTATCTCTCAGAAAGGAGCTTGTGGGGAGAGGTTCCCTCATTTCGCAAATGGGGAACGGATTGCAGGGGAAATTCTTACTCTGGTTTCGCAATCTGTTTCCTAGTGCCAGTTTGAAGCTCCTGCAATTTTCACTGTAAAACCGAGTAGGGGCTAGAACCTCCCCATATATACGTATGTTGTGAAGGTTCCAACTGTAAAGAAACTTTGTGTTCCCTTCAAGCTAGGTGAAGGACGGCTTTCACACACACTTATCTCTCAGAACTGAGCCTGTGGAGAGACGTTCGTTCATCCAGCACAAAGGGAATGGGTTGCAGGAGAAAGAATTACTCTGGATTCTCCATCCCTTGCCCTTGTGCGGGTTTGAATTTCCTGCAGTTTCCACTGCAAAAACGAGATGGAGCTTGCACCTCCCCATATATATATATATATATATATATATATGTAGTGGAGCTTCCAACTAAAAAGTAAACTGTGTTCCCAACAAGCTAGGTGAATAACGGCTTTCGTACACAATTATCTCTCAGAACGGAGCATGCGGGGAGACGTTCGTTCATGTGGCACAAAGGGAACGAGTTGCAGGAGAAACACTTACTCTGGATTCTCAGTCTGTTTCCTAGTGCCAGTTTTAAGTTCCTGTAGTTTTCACTGTAAAACCAAGTTGGAGGTAGAACCTCCCCATATATATTATGTAGTGGATTTTCCAAGTGAAAAGAAACATTTGTTCCAAACAAGCTATGTGAAGGCGGCACTCACACACACTTATCTCTCAGAACGTGGCATGTGGGGATACGTTCCTTCATCTAGCACAAAGGGGATGGGTTTCAGGGGAAACACTCTGGTTTCAAATCTGTTTCCAAGTACTGGTTTGAAGTTCCTTCACTTTTCACTTTAAACAGTGTTGGAACGTGTACTTTCGTATATATATGAATGTTGTCGAGTTTCGTTCTGAAAAGTTCATTTGTGTTCCCAACATGCTATATGAAGTGCGGCATTCACACACACTTATCTCTGAACTAAGCATATGGGGAGACGTTCGTTCATCTAGCACAAAGGGAACGGGTAGCAGGAGAAACAATTTCTCTGGTTTCTCAGTCTGTATCCTTTTGCCGTTTTGAAACTCCTGCAGTTTTCACTGTAAAGCCGAGTCGGAGCTAGTAACTCCCCATATATATGTATGTAGTGGAATTTCCTAATGAAAAGAAACTTTCTGTTCCCAACAAGCTAGGTGAAGCACTGCTTTAACATGCATATTTTCTCAGAAATGAGTATGTGGTGAGACGTTCGTTCATATAGCACAAAAAGAAGGGTTGCAGGAGAAACACATACTCTGGTTTCTCAGTCCGTTTCCTACTGCCGGTTTGAATTTCCTCCAGATTTCACTGTAAATAATATTTGGGGCTTGTACCTCCCCATATAAATATATGTAGTGAATTTTCCAACTGAAAAGAAACTTTGTGTTCCCTACAAGCTATGTGAAGGAAGGCTATCACAGAAAATTATCTCTCAGAACTGAGCAAGTGGGGAGACGTTCTTTCAACTAGCACAAAGGGAACGGTTTGCAAGGGTAACAGTTACTCTGGTTTCTCACTCTGTTTCCTAGTGCCGGTTTGAATTTCCTGCACTTTTCACTGTAAAACCGAGTTGGAGCTTGTACCTCCCTATATATATGTATGTAGTGGAGTTTCCAACTGAAAAGAAACTTTGTGTTCCAAACAAGCTAGGTTAAGGATGGATTTCACAAATATATTTATCTCAGAACTGAGCATGTTGGGAGACGTCCGTTCAGCTAGCACAAAGAACGGGTTGCAGGATAAACATACTCTGTTTTATCAGTCTGTTTCCTACTGCTGGTCTCAAGTTCTGCAGTTTCAAGTGTAAATCCTATTTGGAGCTTGCTCTTCCCCGTATATATGTATGTAGTAGAGTTTCCAACTGAAAAAATCTTTGTATTCCCAACAAGCTATGTGAAGGACGGCTTTCACACACACTGATCTCCCAGAAATTATCATGTGGGGAGACGTTTGTTCATCTAGCACAATGGGAGCGGGTTGCATGCGAAAAACCTACTGTGGTTTCTCAGTTTGTTTCCTAGTGCTGATTTGAAGTTCCTGCTCTTTTCACTGTAAAACCGAGCTGGAGTTAGTACATACCCATTTATATGTATGTATTGGAATATCCAACTGAAAAGAAACTTTGTGTTCCCAACAAGCTAGGTGAAGGACGGCTTTCAAATTCTCATATCTCTCAGAACTGAGCATATGGGGAGACGTTCGTTCAACTTGCACAAAGGGAACGTGTTGCAGGGGAAACACTTACTCTTTTATTCTCAGTCTGTTTCCTAGTGCTGGTTTGAAGTTCCTGCATTTTTCACTGTAAAACCGTGCTGGAGCTCGGATCTCCCCATATATATGTATGTAGTGGAGTTTCCATCTAAAAAGTAACTTTGTGTTCCCAACAAGCTAGGTGAAGTACGGCTTTCACACAAAACTGTCTCTCAGAACTGAGCATGTTGGAAGACGTTCGTTCATCTAGCTCAAAGAGAAAGGGTTGCAGGGAAACACATACTCTGGTTTCTCAGTCTGTTTCATAGTGCCGGTGTGAATTTCCTGCAGTTTTCACTGTAAACCGAGTTGGAGCTAATACCTCCCCAAATATATGTAATTAGTGGTGATTCCAACTTAAAGGAAACTTTGTGTTCCCAACATCCTAGTCAAGTTTTGCTTTCAAAAACACACTTATGTCTCACAACTGAGCATGTGGGGAGCTTTCGTTCATCTAGAATAACGGGAAAAGTTTACAGGTGAAACTCTTTCTTTGGTTTCTCAGTCTGTTTCCTAGTGCCGCTTTGAAGTTCCTGCAGTTTTCACTCTAAATCCGAGTTGGAGCTAAGACCTCACCATATATACATATGTAGTGGTGTTTCCAACTGAAAAGAATCTTGTGTTCCCAACTCGTTAGGTGAAGAATGACATTCGAACAAAAGTATCTCTCAGAATGGAGCATGGGAGAAAACTTTCATTCATCTGGCAAAAATGGTACGCATTGAAGGACAAACACTTCCTCTGGTTTCTCAGTCTGTTTCCTAGTGCCGTTTTGAAGTTCCTGCAGTTTTCACTTACAATCGATTTAGAGCTAGTTCCTCCCCATATATATGTATTTAGTGGATATTACTGTTGAAAAGAAAATTTGTGTTCCCAACAAGTTAGGTGAAAGACTGCTTACACAGACACTTCTCTCTCAGAACGGAGAATCTGGGGAGACGTTGGTTCATTTAGCACAAAGGGAACAGGTTGTAGGAAAAACTCATACTCTGCTTTCTCTGTATGTTTCCTGGGGCCGGTTTGAAGTTCCCGCTGTTTTCACAATAAAACCGTGTTAGAGCTAGTACCTACCCATATATATGTATGTAGTGGAATTTCCAACTGAAAAGAAACTTTGTGATCCCCACATGCTAGTTGAAGGACGGCTTTTACACACTATTATCTCTCAGAACTGAGTATGTGGGGTGACGTTCGTTCAACTAGCACAAAGGGAACGGGTTGCAGGGGAAACAATTATTCTGGTTTCTCTGTCTGTTTCCTAGTGCCGGTTTGAAGTCCTGCAGTTTTCACTGTAAATAATATTTGGGGCTTCTACCTCCCCATATAAATATATGTAGAGGAGTTTCCAACTGAAAATAACTTTGTGTTCCCAACAAGCTAGGTGAACTATGGCTTTCACAAACATTTATATCTCAGAACTTAGTATGTGGGGAGACGTCCGTTCATCAAGCACAAAGGGAACGAGTTGCATGATAAACACTTACTTTGGTTTCTCAGTCTGTTTCCTACTGCTGGTTTCAAGTTCCTGCAGTTTTCACTGTAAAATCGAATTGGATCTAGTACCTCCCAAACATATGTCTGCAGTGGACTTACCAACTGAAAAGATAATTTGTGTTCCCAACAAACAAGATGAAGGACGGCTTTCACACACATTGATCTCCCAGAACTTAGCATGTGGGGAGACGTTCGTTCATCTAGCACATAGGGAACTGGTTGCAAAAGAAACATTTACTCTGGTTTCTCAGTCTGTTTCCTAGTGCCGGTTTGAAGTTCCTGCACTTTTCACATTAAAACCATGTTAGAGCTAGTACCTACCCATATATATTTATGTAGTGGAATTTCAAACTGAAAAGAAGCTTTGTGATTCCCACATGCTAGTTGAAGGGCGGATTTCACACACAATAATCTCTTAGAAATGAGCATGTGGGGAGACAGTCATTTACTTAGCACAAAGTGAAAGGTTTTGTAGGAGAAACTCTTACTCTGGATTCTCAGTCTGTTTCCTTGTGCCAGTTTGAAGTTCCTGCTGTTTTCACAGTAAAACCGATTTGGAGTTAGTACCTCCCAATATATATGTATGTAGTGGTGTTTCCAACTGAAAAGAAACTTTGTGTTCCCAACAAGCTAGGTGAAGGACGGCTTTCACACAGTTATCTCTGAGAACTGAGTATGTGGGGAGATGTTCGTTCATCGAGCACAAAGGGAACGGGTTGAAGGAGAAACAATTTGGTTTCTCAGTCTTTTTCCAATTGCCAGTATGAGGTTCCTGCAGTTTTCACAGCAAAACCGAGTTGGAGGTAAAACCTACCCTTATATATATATGTACTGGATTTTCCAACTGTTAAGAAACTTTGTGTTTCCAACAAAGTAGGTGAAGGACGACTTTCAATTACACAAACCTCTCAGACGTGAGCATGTGGGGAGACGTTCGTTCATCTAGCAAGAAGGAAAAGGGTTGCAGGAGAAACAATTACACTGGTTTCTCAGTATGTTTCCTAGTGTCTCTTTGATGTTCCTGCAGTTATCAATGTGAAACCGAGTTGGAGGTATTACCTCCCCATATACATGTTTACAGTGGAGTTTCCAACGGAAAATAATCTTTGTGTTCCCAACTAGCTGGGTGTAGGACGGATTTACAAAACGCTTATATCTCAGAACTGAGCATGTGGAGATACGTTCATTCATCTAGCACAAAGGGAATGGTTTGCAAGGGAAACACTTACTGTTGTTTGTCAGTCTGTTTCCAAGTGCAGGTAGGATGCTCCTGCAGTTTTCAATGTAAAAAAGTTTTGGATCTAGAAACTCCCCATGAATATATATATATATAGTGGAGTTTCCAACTGAAAAGAAACTTTGTGTTCCCCCAAGTTAGGGGAAGGATGGCTTTCATTCACACATATCTCCCAGAACTGATCTTGTTGGGGGACGGTCGGTCATCTAGCACATAGGTAACGTGTTGCAGGGGAAACAATTACTCCGGTTTCTCAGTCTGTTTCCAAGAGCCGGTTTTAAGTTCCTGCAGTTTTCACTGTGAAAACGAGTTGGAGTTTGTACGTCCCCATATGTATGTACGATATGGGGTTACCAACTAAAAAGTATATTTGTTTTCCCAACAAGCTAGGTGAAGAATGGCTTTCCCACACGCTTATGTCTCAGAACAGAGTTTGTGGAGAGACGTTCGTTCATCTATCACAAAGGGATGGAGTTGCAGGGGAAACACTTTCTCTGGTTTCACAATTGGTATCCTTGTGCTGGTTTGAAGTTTCTACAGTTTTCTCAGTAAAATCGAATTCGAGTTAGTACCTCCCATTATATATTTGTGTAGTGGAGTTTCTAACTGAGAAGAAAGTTTGTGTTCCCAACAACCTAGGTAAAGGCGTTTTTCCCACACGCTTATTTCTCAGAAATGAGCATGTGGAGAGACGTTCATTTTGTAGCACAAATGGAAACAGTTGCCGGAGAAACAATTGCTCTGTTTTCTCAATCTGGTTATTAGTGCCGGTTTGAAATTTCCACAGATTTCACTGTGAAACCGAGGTGGATCTATTACATACCCATATATATGTATGTTGTGCACTTTCCAAACTAAAACAAAGTTTGTGTTCCCAACAAGCGAGGTGAAGCTCGGCCTTCACACTCACATATCTCTCAGTACTGAGCATGTGGAGAGACTTTCATTTAAGTAGCACAAAGTGAACGGTTTCCTGGAGAAACACTAACTCTTGTTTCTCAGTCTATTTCCTTGTGCTGATTTGAAATTCCGTCATTTTTCACTGGAAAACCGAGTTGCAGCTAGAACCTCCCCATACATATATATGTAGTGGAGTTTCCAAATGAGAAGGAACTTTCTGTTCCCAACAAGCCATTTGAAATACGGCTTTCCAACACACTAATCTCTCAGAAATGAGCATGTTGAGAGACGTTCATTCATCTAACACAAAGGGAATGGGTTGCAGTTGAAACTCTTTAGTTTCACAGTATATTTCCTAGTGTCTGTTTGACGTTCCTACAGTTTTCAATGTAAAACCGAGTTGGAGCTAGTACCTCCCCATATATATGAATGTAGTGTAATTCCTAAATACTAAGAAACGTTCTGTTCCCAAACAGCTAAGTGAAGGACGGCTTTCACACACACTTATATCTCAGAAATTAGCATGTGGAGAGACATTCAGTAATCTATCACAAGTGGAACGGTTTGCAGGAAAAACACTTACTCTGGTTTCTCAGTCTATTTCCTAGTGCCGGTTTGAAATTCCTGAAATTTTCACTGTAAAACCGAGTTAGAGTTAGTACTTCCTGATGTATATTTATGTAGTGGCGTTTCCAACTGGTAATAAACTTTGTGTTCCCAACAAGCTATGTGAATTTTGACTTTCACAAACAATTATATCTCATATTTGACCATTTGGAGATGAGTTCGTTCATCTAACACAAGGGAATTGGTTGCAGGGGAAAAACTTACTCTTTTTTCCCAGTGTGTTTCCTAGTTCCGTTTTAAGTTCCTGCATTATGCACTGTAAAACCGTGTTGGAGCTATTATCTCCCCATATATCTCTATGTTTTGGTGTTTCCAACTGAATAGAATATTTGTGTTCCGAACAAACTAGGTGAAAGACGTCTTTCACACACACATATCTCTCAGAACTGAGCATGTGGAGATACTTTCGTTCATGTAGCACAAATGGAATGGGTTGCAGGAGAAACTCATACCCTTTTTTGTCATTCTGTTTCCTACTGCCGGTTTAAAGTTCCTGCAATTTTGACTGTAAAACCGAGTTGGAGCTACTACCTCTGCATATACTTGTATGTAGTGGATTTTCTAACTGAGAAGATTCTTTGTGTTCCCAACAAGCTATGTGAAGTTCGTTTTCACTCCCAATGATCTCTCAGAAATCAGCATGTGGATAGACGTTCGTTCATGTAGCACAAATGGAACGGGTTACTGGAGAAACTCATACTCTGGATTCTCATTCTGTTTTCTTGTGCCAGTTTGAAGTTACTGGATTTTTCTCTGTAAACCCGAGTTGGAGTTACTACCTCCTTATATACATTTATGTACTGGAGTTTCCAACTTGAAAGAAACTCTGTTTTCCCATCAAGCTAGGTGAAGGACTTCTTCTCTACACACACATTTATCTCAGATCGGAGCATGTGGAGAGAAGTTCGTTCATCTAGCACAAAGCGAAATGGTAGCATGAGAAACATTTACACTTTTTCTCAGTTGGTTTCCTTGTGCCGTTTTGAAGTTCCTTCATTTTTCACTATAAACCCGAGTTGGATCTTGTACGTCCGCATATGTATTTAGTGGAGTTTCCACCTGAGAAGAAATTTTGTGTTCCCAAATAGCTTGGAGATTTACGGCTTTCACACACACATATCTCTCATACCTGAGTATGTGGAGAGACGATCGTTCATCTAGCATTAAAGGACAGGTTGCAGGAGGAACACTTACTCTGGTTTCTCAGTGCTTCCAAGAGCTGGTTTGAACTTCCTGCATTTTTCACTTTAAAACCGACTTGAAGCTAGTTCCTCCACATATATATATGTATGCAATTATGTTTCCAACTGAAAAGAGACTTTGTTTTACCAACAGGCTATATGTAGTACTGCTTTCACACACACTGATATCTTCGAACTGAACATGTGGAGAGACTCTGTTCATCTAGCTCAAAGGGAAAATTTGCAGGAGAATCACTTACTGTGATTTGGCAGTCTGTTTCCTAGTGTCGGTTTGATGTTTCTACATTTTTCACTGTAAAACCGTGTTGGAGCCTGTACTTCCCCATATATACTTATGTAGTGCAGTTCCATCTGGAAAGAATCTTTGTGTTCCCATGAAGCCTGGTGAAGGACGGCTTTCACACACACGTATCTCTCAAAACCTAGCATGTGGAGAGACTTTCCTTCAGCGAGCACAAAGGGAATTGTTTGTGGTGGAAACACTTACTCTGTTTTCTCAGTCTGTTTCCTTGTGCCGGTTTGAAGTTCCTGCAGTTTTCACTGTAAAACCGTGTCGGAGCTTGTACCTCCCCTTATATATATGTATTGGAACTTCCAACTGAAAATATAATTTTTGTTGCCTTCCAGCTGTCTGAATGCGTCTTTCACACACACTTATCTATCAGAAGTAATCACGTGGTGAGACGTTCGTTCATCTAGCATAAAGGAAATGGGTTACTGTAAAAATCCTTACTCTGGTTTCTCAGCATTTTTCCTAGTGCCGGTTTGATGTTCCTGCAGTTTTCACTATAAAGCCGAGTTGTAACTAATATCTCACCATATATATGTTTGTCATGTCGCTTCCAAATCAAAGAAACTTTATGTTCCCAACATGCTAGGTGATGAACCACTTTCACACACACTTATACCTGAGAACTTAGCATTTGGAGAGACTTTCTTTCATCTAGCACAAGGGGAATGGTTTGCTGTTAATCAGTAACTCTGGTTTCTCATTCTTTTTCCAAATGCCAGTATTTAGTTCATGCAGTTTTCACTGTAAAACCGAGTTTGAGGTAGTACATATAAATATATATTTATTTGTTGTAGAATCCAACTGAAATGGAATTTTGTTTTCCCAACAAGCTAATTGAATGTCAGCTTTCATACACTCTTATATCTTAGACCTGAGCATGTGGGGAGACTTTCGTTTATCTAGCACAAATGAAGTGAGTTGCAGTAGAAACACTTGCTGTGTTTTCAGTTTGTTCCCTAGTGCCGGTTGGATGTTCATGCATTTTTCACTGTACAACTGATTTGGAACTAGTACCTCCCCATTTATAAGTATGTAGTGTATATTCCCACTTAAAAGTAATTGTGTGTTCCCAACAAGCTTGGTCACTGAAGCCTTCAACTCGCACTTAACTCTCGGAATTGAGCATGTGCAGAGACGTTCCTTCATCTATCTTAAAGGGAATAGGTTGCTGTAGAAACACTTACTCTGGTTTCTCAGTATGTTTCCTACTGCCTTTGTGTAGTTCATGCAGTTTTTACTGTGAAACCGAGCTTTAGCTTGTACCTCCACACATATATGTTTATAGTGTA